TTTAGTGATAGCAGCGCGCTAAGCGCTTACGGTTCAACTACCAACAAGGAAACAAATCCCGCCATTTATTCAAACCTTCTCTTTTTATTTTTCTATGTGTGAACGACATACGAATAACGAATGGCTCAAATGGCTGTTTGTTTGTTGTTTTGACACTATTTCCACTTACGGTGGACATGCGCACAAAAATTCGATCCCCTGCGTGGTAGTCGTGGTACCCTATATGATGGAGGCCAAATAATAATAAAGAAAGAACGGCTCCAATGTCATGCGTCAAAATCACGTGACAAGCTGAAAGTGATTTGATTGGCTCTTTGCTAAGGCTACGAACGTCGCTACGAACGGCCGTCGGCGAAAGATAAAATTCGTTTATGTTGAACGTCACCAAAAGCAGACCCATCGGCAGACGGCACCGTCAACGGCAACTATGAATGGTCTTATGCACTTCAATGTTTTTAATCTGTAACGGCCAACGGCATCGGCATCGGCAAAAGCAAACGTCGAGTTTATGAATCGACCTTAAAGGTAATGAATTGAATTTTTACATAAAAAAGCCTATGTGGACGTCAATGAAGTTACCTATTTACTAATTTTTGATAATTCCTACAATCTCAGATAACAGAAAAGACATAACCAAAAGCTTTAATCTATAAATACTGTACCTAAATACGTTTTAAATTAATTCTTGTGCGCTTACGAGATCTATAACCACAGAATAACAACATTCATATTTATAAACATAACCTAAACTTGCCTGCGGAATGAAACATTAACATGTAAATAGTCCATTTATAACAAACAAAACACTGTTAAAGGTATGCCCTATTTAATTTAATTACTTAAATAATCAAACAAACTCAGAAAAAGCAGTTTTCACAAAAAGATAGCTGCAACCCACCAAACACAAAGTACTTTTGAGAATGAAACATGGAAGAAGGAAGAAATGAAAGAAATTACTACTGTCTAGAAATACGATCAAAAGTAAATGCGCAGTTGCCAAACATAAAATTTCTTTCGATGATTTAAATTCAAAAAGTATTGCAAGCTAATGTATTTAAATTACTACCAGAGACAACCCAGTGAGACGGGTAACTCAATGTATTTTTTTTGTTCGGTAAAAGTTATTTGGGCGATTGTAACCACAACCAGTCTATGATGGCGCCACTAGTAAATAGCGGGAAAATTAAAAATGCTTTAGGGCGGGAAATTCAAACATGGATTCAGAAATAAATAGTTTTTCTAAACAAATTTACAGGAGAAACAAAAACTATTGTTTCACTGTATATTAAAAAAATATAAAAGCTTCCAATAACATCAAATTTTTTATCACATAAATAATCATTTTAATAAAGGAAGTTTTAATTAGTTTAATATAAACAGTGAACATAGTTTTTATTACTCTTGTAAATTTCGCTAAAGAAAAACTTGAAAATTCTATTGATTATTAAATATTTAAACTTGGAAAAATAATACACCAAACTCTTTTTCTATAAATTATATTTTTGTAAGGTACAGAAAAACAAACTACAATTGCTTCGTTTAGAAAGTACCTCGTATCATTTTGTGACAAATTACAAAGAAAGTAACAGTTGTTATATATTCATAATATATTTAAAAACTAATGTAACAAATATTTTATAAAGTATAGTATAGATACCTTTTTGCCAGACTATCATAAGTGCCGTTTGAACAAATGTCACTTATGTTAGTCTGGCAAAAAGGTATGGATATGTTATGACTGTTTATTTTAATAGAAACCATGGAAACGAAACACACATACACTCAACACAAATGTATAAGGCCCGAGTCAAGTAAGTTCCCATCCTGTAAACTGGATTGAAACCTGCTAGACCCCTGCTAACTCCTCTTATAGTAATCAAGATCAATAGATTTATATGCCATGCCTTCTAAAAGGGAATGAAGGATGACATACTATCATCATTTAAACAGGACGTTGCTGAAGGCTTACCCCTGTTATTTCGTTTGTTTGTGTATCTTGTGTGTGCATTCCTGTTGTGTCCCCAGTCATGTAAAAGTTTTCCTAGTCTCCTTATTTGGTTACTAGGTGGACCTTCTCCAACTAGTAGTCTAATCTATTTGATTTGTTTGGAAGCAGGAGGTACTTTTCAAACATAGCAAATAATATTATTAATAATAAACACTATTTAAAGATAAATACATTTTTGTAATTGCCCCTTACCTTTCTCTTACACCATCAGGGTATACCTATTTTCCATATTCCCTTAATTATAGATTACCTTACAATGTTCGAATGAATATAACATTTTACTCATGAAAAATCTAATTTCATATTTAACTCTTTTTCAATTTCATTTGAAACAATAATTGGTACCTATATTACAATTTATTATCAAAGAAAATTTCTAATAAAGTTATAGCAAATCCTACTTAAACTACTGGTTGTTCTGCAGGATAAATTAACTTTTCTTGAGATTGATCTCTCTATAAAATCCAAAACCGACCTGATGTCCCTAAATTTATTTTCCAATGCATCCTGATTTAAAATTCTGCCCTTTTGTGATTCAATTTTTTTTTTCTTCCTTTAGAGTGGCTGTTAGAGGTAGGTGTATGCAAGAAATAGCTAATCTCTAATCATTTCAAAAGTCCTTTGCCAATACTATATGTGCAGATTTTTTACTCAGCATACATTTTACTTTTCTAGTAGATAGGAACTTTGTGCTGCCATTAAAGCTGTCCAGACATTCATCTACCTACTTAATGAACACAAGTAGCTGTAACAATGGATCTCTGTTCCAATTCACCTAAAATAATTATAGTCATTGGGTAATATATTATTAAACACACACATTATACAGTGCTTTTCTTAATAAATTGGAAATTACTTACCTCTAGAAAGAAATGTGTACAAAAACGCGAGTTTGGTTCCAGAAATTGCTTCATGCAAAAAATAATATGCAAAAATAAACATTCCCCCCCAAAGAAAATTAATTAAACAACAAAATCAGACTAAAAGAAATATACGGGGCCCAAATTAAATTAATTTTAATAAAATGCACATGATCATAACAACATTCATAACATTGTCAGTTGTCAGTTTTAATACTTTTAATCGATATTTCGACGTCAAAAAACCAACAACACCAGCGCCCTCTGAAAATGGTGTTAGTTTTATTGGAGAGAGATAGACATATGTAAAGATCAATGTAAAAGAAAAAGAGGGTCATATATGTAATTTAAATGGACCACCGAACATATTTTCCTATTAAGTTACACGTCTCTGTTGTCTCTGTTACTACTGTTAAAAACACCGTAAACTTGGCATCAATGTTCAATCAGATTATTGTGTTTCTTCCGCGGACGCAAACGTTGAGACTTCAGAAATTTTGTAAATAATCCTATCTGGTTATATCTAAGGTTTTTAAAGCCTTGTACATATTTGTATTACATTCATCGTAAAATGTTATTACAAACAAAAAAACACTTCTATCAATACTCGAATGTTATACTAACCTTTTTGTACCCTACCGTCATCACTATTCAATCTTCAAAACACTGAGGAGGAGAAGAAGCCAGTAGTCGTAGTTGTTATGTTTGTTACTGAGGGTGTAGATGTAATACTGAATAGATAATAAAAGGCACCATGTCTCTAGTAGGTATTAGGTTTTATTGTTGACTGCTTCTTCATTCATGTTTGTTACAATTCTCACATTAATTTAATACTACCCACCACTTGAAGGACACCGCATGTCGTCGATCTACAGGTAAAGCGCGGTTGCCACGTTGATTTATAATTATAAACATACAGTAGTTTTGCTCTTTATATCCGTTTAGCTGGTAGATACATCTTATTCCCGAGGAACGCACAAGGAAAAATTCAAACAACAATAATAATTTTTATAATATATTTTTAACTGAAAACATTGTATGTATATATCATATTGAGATGCCAAATAAATATATAAATTTTATAGCAAAAACAATCCTATGTATTCACATACTTTTTTTTCCTAAAACACATTTCATATAATAAAGCATCAAATACAAATAAAAAGCAATATTTAAAAATTGTTACATTGCTTAGTTAACAAAAATTACAGCGTCGTAGTCAAAAAATTAAAATACGCAAAATTAGCAATAATAATAGAATAAAAAAAATATTTTTAGGCGTTATCCCATCTTGATTGTTTTTATTATATTCGCACGTCTGTGCAATTTGGAGAGATTAATTGCACTGAGTATTTTTTTCTTATAGAAACAAAAACTTAAAAAGTGGAGAGGTCATTTTAAGTTATTTTCTATTTTGACAATCAAGATGGTAATCAATCACAATAAAATTAATTTATCTGCAAACCGAAGTGTTCCACCCCTTCAATTTACAGATTTTAATTTTCACAACCAACAAAGAAAAGTTTAAAAAAAAAAACAACGATATAAAATATATTAAATTCTGTTTCACATATTTTTGTGCAAGTTTCCCCAATATACAGATATCTAGTGAATAAAATTAAATAATGTTTTTATTCGATAATAATACAAAAAACCTATTTGCTACGCTTAAATATATAGTTTACAAAATTCTTAAGTCGTGGTTCTTAATTCTTCAGACAGATCCGAGTTTAAATTAAGTAAGTCGCATATTTACAAATATGTTCAATATAAAACAAATGTACAAAAGCATTCTAAAGATTTTAAAACGCGATTTTCAACGGTGTAATAAAATCTTTAAAAGATAATTGGAATGGATTTTTTTTTGTGTTAACATCTTTAGCCAGTTATCAGGAATATCCTATTATTTTTTGGATACCCTTGTAGTAGTTTCAACATAACTTTTTATCACAAACCAGTCTTTACAGTCTTTTTATACCAAGAAACTACTAAGTAAATCTAGGTACTAATTTTATAGATATTACAGTACCCTAAGATAACAGTAGACTAAATACATGACTAGCACATATAGTTTTCGTTATTTACTAAGCTAACAGTTCAAGTCGCTACTAGGGAGTGCTAGTAGTGTCTACTTAAATTGGCGGTGGTCCATCGCGGTACCTCAACGTTGGTGTTAGACTGTTAGCTATTGAGTTGACTAGTGAACAGGAATAATCGTCTTCTGAAAATGGTACTAGCGATGCTGCGCCTAGCAAGAGGAGCATTACTGCTTGGATTGGTACCGAAGCACGGACGACTCTACCAAGGAATCGACATCCTCGTCTTAGTACTGACGTGTTTATTTCAGTGTCGTCGTCAGAACCACTGAAAAAGAGAAAAGGGATTTAGATATGGAATATTTAGGAAAGACGTGTCCGACTGTTTAAGCTGAATAGTAACAAAAAAAAATTTTTTTGTAATAAACATAATATATGATTATTGCTAATAAGTGAAATACATTATTCATTGTTTTCTCTTTAATATTTATTTAAATAAAGAAATTATAAAGTAACTCTTGTTGAATTTTTTGTAAAAGTAATAAAAATACAAAAGATTCATATTAAACTTCTAATTAATAAAAATGTATAGAAGTAATCATGTAAGTTTAAGTCACCTTTTATAATAGGGTATTTATGAAACCAGTTACATAAAACGGCATTTCGTAATATACAATATTTTTTTAATTTTGACTAGATTATTTATAAAATTGTTTTAGTAAAAAATTACTGATATCTAGGCAACCAATATTACTACTTTCTTGTATTGTTAGTTGCATATGATTATTTTATTCTTTTACTGACAAATTGGAAATCATATTCATTTATTCTCAACGACTTAGTATTCGTTAAAGTTGGTTTTCCTATTTTGACATATAAAGTGACATTTTTGTAATCACAGCAAGTGTCAAAATGATCTACTTTACAAAACCAGTTGCTTAATATGTTGAACACTATGAAACTGGTTTCGAAAAATTCATTATGTCACAAGTTGCGAAAAAACAAAAAACAAATAAACATGAACCTTTTTTGGTTTTATAGATTATTATTGATAGTTTATATCAAAGAAGGGCCGGTTGACTTACAAAAATTGAATTTGGTTAAACTTACAACCTAGTAACAAATGTTTTGGTTCCTATTTTTCATTCTAAATCAGCACAAAATAATTACAACTCAATACACGATAAAATAATCCACTTTCTTGAAAACTAAATAACTTTAACAAGCAATATAAATACACTACAAGTCCTTGAGAATAAATTAAAATTATTTTCCATTTCTCAATGAAATAAAAAAGATACGTTTATGCAACTAACAATACAAGAAAGTGATATTGGTTGCCTAGATGTCAGTAATGTTTTACCAAAACACAATTTTATAAATAATATAGTGAAAATTAGAAAAAAAATTGTATGTAACACGTTACGAAATTCAGTTTTATGTAACTCATATGTTGCATTTGCTCGTCCCGAAAATATTCACTCGTTACTTAAAATAAGGCATCTCGTAACTAGTTACATAAATAGTTATTATATTTCAAGAAAGTTGATTATTTTGTCGTGTATTGTGTTTTAATTATTTTGTGGGGTTTCAGAATGAAATAATAAGGACCAAAACAACAATAGTACTGTAAGTTTAATCAAATTCTATTTACATAAGTAAGCCTTTCTTTGATATAAACTTTCAATAATAATGTACAGTATGTCCCCCTAAGTTGGAATCATATGGAAAACTTTTGTATTATTAATTTTAGGGAAAAAAGTTATTCTTCATAAAAAGTTCTGCATTATCTAAAACCTAGAATACAGTCATCAAATATCAAATTTTTTTCAGTGGTATACGAGGTTTGTCAAAAAATATGAGTTTTACTCAAGAGTACCTTTATTCTTTATACGACCGATAAAATTTGATATTTGATGGTTGTATTTTAGGTTTTAGACCATGCTCGATTTTTTATAAACAACAACTTTTTTCCTAAAATTAGTAATGAAAAGGCTTTCCTATGTCTACGTAAATTGGCGGCATATGAAAATCTTTTTTATTATTAATATTGGGAAAAAAGTTATTCTTTTGATATTTGATGACCGTATTCTAGGTTTTAGATAATGCAGAACTTTTTATGAAGAATAACTTTTTTCCTAAAATTAATAATAAAAAAGTTTTCCATATGATTCCAACTTAGGGGGACATACTGTATATTATGTATTTTAAACTCAAAAAAAGTTTATTTTTATTTGTTTTTCTTTTGGCAACTGACATATTACATTTTTCGAAACCAATTTCGTAATGTTCAACATTATGCAACTGGTTGTGTAGTAAATCATTTTGACACTTGCTGCGATTACAAAAAATGTCACTTTATATGTCAAAATTGGAAAAAAATTATTATATGTATAAAATAGTTTGTCTTAATACTTTAATAGTATATTTTTTAATAAGTTAGTAATGATAATAATGTTCCTATGATATTTAAATTAGACTAATAGGCAAATGAGTATTCCTTAAATTAAAATGACAGCTCTCGTCTAGATATTTATTTAAAGTTTGACATTTCATTGCATAAATGATTTATTGAAAGAATAATTAGGAAATGACTACTTTGTGTTATTAAATAAGGATCTGATATGGAAATGATTACTTTGTGTAATTAGAATTAATAAATACGGAAGTGTAGCTCATTTTCAGTAAAGAATAGTTAAAAAAGTATACTTTTGTCTTAAAGCTGTAAAAAAAGAAACTATTGTGGCCGTACCAGAATTCAAAGCTGGTGGCGATTATGTATAGGTAGGTACTTGTACACCTTAACACAGAGAGAAATATTGTTGCGAGGTCGACGTATACCCCTACTCTAATTTCAAGTATATCTTTCAAGTAGCGAGTAAATTATACAATATTTTTTTGTTAGCGTACAGAAAGTTTAGAGGACTGACCTTCGTTAAAAGTGATGACGTAATTTGTGTTCCACTGACAATGACAGTAGACTTACCAAAACAGATGCTATAAGTTAGGTATTCATTAAGATTTTGTTTCTATTATACGAGTATTCAAGATTATTCATTTAAACAAAGCCAAAAGTATGTACCACTATGAGAGCTACTAACTAGACGACATACTTTAAATAACAGAGTCCCATAATAGACCTGAAAAGATCGGAATAGACTACTTTCAAATCTAATCTAATATACCTCTAAACTACTTTTTAACGACCTACAAACAATATTTTAAAAAACTAAAAATTATATCGACGGACTAATTCTAATACTCTGTATCTGCAAAAAATTAAATTTTTACTTTTTCGCGCCATTCGGTTGTACGCTTCAACTGTATTGGATTCTGACAGTAGTGGCTGAAGTATAATTGCTGTAGAGCTGCAGAACTACCAAAAAAAGAAAGTATCTCATCTACATTTCACAGAAATTATTTTACACATTCTGAAATTTAAGTAAAATAAATTTTATGGATAATTTTATTAATTTTAAATATTAAATAGTATTGTACTGTCAGTTTATAGGAATTAGTCCAGAGCGGACCAGTGAAAGACTTAACAAAAGCTCGCCAGATCATATTCATCTTTAAGGTGGGTCGCTTCGGGACGGTTTGTGCACCGCTTGGCCGCCTGCGCTCATCGCCTCACCTACAGCGGATCTCTAAAATGTACAGCCGAGACACACGTAGTGTTTAGACTGCATTTTTGCTAGATCGGCGACTTTGTTTATAGTTTGTCGCATATGATGTGATTTGACATTATTTTCAGGCAGAATACCAATTTATTATTTTAGATTTGGATTACTCTCATTTTTTCCATTCTTTTAATCTATAATTTGTCTAGGTTATATAGGGTAGTCTAAAAGAAATTGGCATTTTTGTATGAAAAATCGTAAGTAAATCAACGCTCTGTAACCAATTACATACTGTGGAAAAATAGATTTTTACCTACACGAGTTTATTAATATCATGTATTACACTTATATTTAGTAATATTTGTTTTATATGCTTATTAGTATACAAGGGTGACTCAAAACTCGGAGCATTGATTTTCATGTTTTATTATATGGGACATCCTATATTTTATAACACCAGAAGAACCCTATGTAATAAGCATTCTCTCTACCTAAAGTTAATATAAGTAGAAGAGATGTAAGGGTACGGGAACACTACTTCCAAAGTCGCCGGTAGATGGCGGTGGTGGACAATTGAAACTCGGTTTGTGAGTCGGCTACGCGATCCAAGATGGCAACCATCATTTACGTGAACGTATATAGAATATCGTTGAATAGAAAAATTCTGCGCAGTAGCAATGCCAAAAGGACCTAAGCGTGAATCTCCGTTATTATTGGTCCGATTGGAATGAGGAAAACGGGGTGAGTGTAGGGAATTAAATTTTTATTAACGCTGAAGAGAAAAATCCTGCGCGGTAGCAATGCCAAAAGGACCTAAGCGCATATCTCGGCTGCTATTCGTCAGATTTAAATGAGGAAAACGGCATTATGTAGAGAACATGATATAGATTAACATTGATATTTGGTAACAATGAAAATTGTGGTGTAATGACTTTTCATAAAAATATAAGTTTAAATAGGCATAACTTTTACTAATACTTAAACCCACATTGTATAGTTTCAAACAAGATGGTTATTGAATGCTTGCGGTGAAAATGTAAATGATTGTGTCAGGGCCACACTTTTTTAAAGGATGAGTAAATGGTTCAGTATAATTGAATTTTCTTGAAAATCATTTACTAATATTACTCGAGGATGTTCCCCTTTACATTCGCCAACAAATGTGGTTTTTGCACAATGGTGCGCTTGTCCATCAACGCTGCGTTAATTCACAATTATCTAATCTAAATAATCACTGTCTAAGAAGCTGGATAGGGGAGAGAATGGAAAATGAGGTAGCCAGCTAGATCACCGGATTTAACAAAAAATGTTTTTTCTGTGGCGTTATGAAAAAAATCAAATTTATAATAGTCCTGCAATGACGAAAAACGACCAGAGTATTGATATTCAAATGCTAAGAAATGTGAGTTAATCTATTGAACTTTGTTTACAAGGCTATTAATGTTACGGCAGGTGATTTAGAATTTTTATAATTTTGTATAATTATTTCTTTTTTTTTTATTTCACACATTATTTTTTTTATGTTTATTAAGTTTTTTTTTGTTTTTCTTAAAGAAAAAAACTAATTTTATTTATCGAAATAACCATAATGTACATTTAATGTTACAAAATATCCAAAATTATTAACTGTAGATATAAGGAATGTTTAATGAAAATAAAAAATATAGGGTGTCTCATTTAAATAAAACTTAAAAATCAAGAACCCGAGTCTTATTGAGTATACTAAAAAGCATAGAATAAAAACGTTGCTATAGAAAAGTGCGTAATAAATGATATTATTAAAAAACTCGTGTAGATAAAAAACTATTTTTTTCACAGTATGTAATTTGCTACAGGACGTTTTTCATACAAATTACCAATTACGTTTAGAGTACCTTATATGACATAGATAAACCATATACATACTAGAAGAATGAGAAAAAAGAGATGTTCTAGTTTAAGAAAAACACGTTTGGTTCGTACCTGAATCATGAAACACGCTGTATACCTCTATGTAATTTTAAAATGTGGCCCACAAGCCACCCTACAAATTTTGTTAATACTGTTTTTTAATATCTCTTATAACAAGGATGATATCGAACTTTTCCATAAGATTGGTACACCCGTATGTATAAAAAAAAGCTAAGTGAATAAATTATTAATTAAGAGATATATAGATAAATTAGATAGGTAGATAAAATTAATAAATTATGAATACTGAAGATCCAGTAAAGCTAAAGCTGTAGCAGTAGAGGACAAAAATAATTAGGTATATTATTATTTAAGGAAAATTATTTTTTGACCAACCCCAATAAACTGAAAAACTTTGATGGGGTTTTTACACTTAACAATTTTATTTTGGATCACGCAGGAAATATTTGAAAATTTTCCAAAAACTGTTTTGTACCAGTTTATTTACTGTGCTGTACATCACTTATTAGACATTCGCAGATAATGGGTTATTTTTTTGTTTTAACAACCATAAAACGTCGGACACCCTGTAGATAGTGTAATTATCAAAACGGTTAGGCTAACATTTTACGAATGATGAATAAAAATTAATATTATTTAACCAAAATAAAACCCACTAGAGAATCGAATTAGCATTTTATAAAATTTTGGTATTTCTAGCATTTTAAAATGAAGGAATAGATTCGAATAGTACCTTAGAAAGAATGGATTCCATTTTATTCCATCTAATGTAACAGTTTATAAATTTTTGTTTGTTTTTTTATTCTTAAACTGTTCCAACCTATTCGTTATTCGTGTTCATCATGTTTGAATACACCTTTTAAAGGAAAATTGGGAAAAACTTCACATTTTGTAAAAAGCTAATTTTAAAATCATATCAACAAACTACCAAATTTCAAAATATTTTTAAAATTATTGCCAGAGAATATTACAAGTTCTAACAGGAGTCGAACTTCTATTACATTTGTTTAAATTGTTATAGGGTATATTTCAAAATAAATTAAGTTCTATTCATCATAATGATTTTAACTAGGTATGTGATATTAGCTTCTTTAATGAAACAATATTGACTATTTTATTAATAACTGTTTTTAAACTGACTTGCATGCAAATTAACAAAATAAGCGATTGATAAAATTGATTTTCACTCTTGTATACAACTGAATAATTTTTGATTCATCAAATAAAAAAAAAAAAAAAATATGCCTCGCCAATATTTGAAAATTATTAAAAACCAATTGAAAATGTTTGTCGCTCTGATGGTAAAGAGGTGAAGACGCTGGGCACGGCATGATAGACATTGCAGGTTTGAACCTAGTCGAAGAACATGGATTTTTAAATTTTTAATTGGTTAGTTTTTGCCCCCAAAGGACTATACATTTATTTCTAAATTTTTAATTGATATTTAGTCTACTTCTATTAGCTGTTCTCTGAGGCAAATTTTCTAACAACCAAATCTTTTGTTGTCACCATTATTTTGTAATAAATAAGGTATGATAGAAGATCCTTATCGACAGTAGGCGCGTAGCAAAAGTTACGTGATAAACTTCTTTTATACTTTAAATTCCATCAGTAAGTATCACTTGTTTCAGTTCCAACCAGTTTTCTTAGTTTTTTTTTGTTTTTTATAGCCAGGCCTAATGAAGTTATATGCCCTCTTAAAGTCAATAAATCAATAAAGAGAATGTGTAATCCTTCTGTCACAGTTATAATTTATACAAACAATTGGCTTGGAATTTTATTTAGTATGGAAACACTATGTTAAGTCCTGTGCAGTATAGTTAAGTTTAATGTGGACAATATTGTCCTACTTTGTGGATAGTATGTTACTTTAGGTATTTCCAAATATTCAACGATTTAAAGAGGGAATTTAAGTTTAAAATAGTAAACTACCTGTTGATAATCTTGTTGAAAAAAATTAAAAGTGAAAATCGCATTTATCAGTTAAAACATAAAAATTAAACAAATAAATATTTACTTGTAAGTGGCCGCATCTGGAGTGGAGCCGGTGCGTCCATCTTGATTTGGCTGGTCCAAAAGCTGTCCAAAACGCAAAGGAAAATGTGAAATAGTGCTTTAAAATCTTTACTCTAAATATTTTTTAACTAAAGTGCTACTCAAAAACACAAAAATCAAAAAAATCACATTAAAAAAAACTACGTCTACTTTCCGTTTCAGTTCTACCTTCACTCCAATCATAAATTATTAGAGTATTTTGACATTAAATATTTCAAAATATAAGAAAAAAGTATGCATTTCTGGAAAAACGGTAAAACTATCACAAAAAGACGATGTAATACAATAGTAATTCTTCTTTTTAAACATGGCACATTTATCTATATAATAAATAACTACAATTTAAATTTCACTAAACAATGACTACAGACTTACAGAATAGTACATCTATCCATTAAACTTACGTCATAATTCAAAGATTGTAATGGTAAACCAGAAGAAGAGGCTGAAGAAGCTGAGTACCCGATGACGTTTGGATCTCTTCCAAGTACAGCACCTAACTTCAGGGTATAAACACCCGTCAGTTTGATAAGCGACTGTAATTTCAAGCGCAGTTCCGTCAATCTCCTGTAGATGGTGCTGGAACCTTCAGGAGCTTCTTCTCTGAAGAGCTGATTGGCCGCTTCTTGAAGACTGAGCACTCTAGGTTCGCAGCGTTCCAGCTCTAATCGCAGGTCTAAGAAACGTTGGTATTTGGTGTCGATGACATCGTGGGAGGCCGTTAGATCTACTGGTTCCGATGCGCGAATTTTCTTCTCGTTCTTCTCCAACCAAGTACACAGTTCAGCGATTATATTGTGGAATTGTTGATTCTAGAAACATTACGATCATTTCAGGGTGGATTTTTAAAAGAACTAGAAACAACAATAAGAAATATTCTAGGTAGAAGTATGATATAAGTATGGTAGAAGTATGGTAGAAGTATGGTAAAAGTATGGCAAAAGTATGGTAAAAGTATGGTAAAAGTATGGTAAAAGTATGGTAAAAGTATGGTAAAAGTATGGTAAAAGTATGGTAAAAGTATGGTAAAAGTATGGCAAAAGTATGGTTAAAGTATGGTATAAGTATGGTAAAAGTATGGTAAAAGTATGGTAAAAGTATGGTAAAAGTATGGTAGAAGTATGCAGAAGTATGGTAGAAGTATGCAGAAGTATGGTAGAAGTATGCAGAAGTATGGAAGAAGTATGGTAGAAGTATGGAAGAAGTATGGAAGAAGTATGGAAGAAGTATGGTAGAAGTATGGTAGAAGTATGGTAGAAGTATGGACTAAGTATGGTAGAAGTATGGTAGAAGTATGGTAGAAGTATGGTAAAAGTTTGATACAAGTCTAGTAGAAATATGATAGAAATATGGTAGAAGTATGGATAACTACATAATCAATTATTGCTATAATGAATCTACTAAAGGGAAAATAAATTACAGAAGACAATTGCTATCTAAAACAAATTATGGATCCTAAAATAGATATTTCTTTGGCGAGAAGGAAAATAAAAAATAAAGTTTAAAAGGGTATGAATTATACTAAAAAACCTATAAAATATTTTAGAACGAAGTACTGTTGATAAAATATAACCAATTGTTACTTACATTCATTAGAGCCCTTTGTAACTGCACTTGCCAGTTAGCAGCGTCATGACAGATAATATCCCATCTCTTATTATCAGTCTCCAGTCTAGATCTTAGCTCTTCAGCCTTGCCAGTATCTTCAGTGTGGTCTGCCAGATGGGTTCCAACAATATTCAGGGATCTCACGATACTTTTGTGGCTGTCCAGATCTAAAAGGAATTCTCTGTGATCTTGAATGACGTCCTCGAGATGTTCAATGTTGGATGGAGGACTTTTCTGCGTTTTTTGTGTACCTTCGGCTACTTGCAGCCATTTTTCTAATCGCCATAGGTCGTTGTCCAATTGGGCCCAATTGCGTTTTGTACACAATGGACAGAGAATCCTTCCAGCCTCGCTAAAATGGCGGGAAAATTAAGAACTTATTAAAACGTCCATTAGAAATAGAAATAGGAAGAGTGTTTAGATAATCGTGGCCAGTTAGATGCAAAACGGTTTCTTTTCAATTAATTCATTAAGACTTGCAATGTTACAGAATAGAAATTTACTTACTGTGTGCATAAAAGGTTATAAGCGTCGGAAACTGTCATTCTGCAGAGAAAGAAAAACCAAAACCAGTTAGTCGATTGTTAAAAGAAAAAAGAAGTAACGTGCAAACAATCAAAAAATAAAATATTGATACGTACCTAAGTTCTCTTAATTTTTGTTCCTTTTCCTTAGCCTTGACAAACAAAATTCTGTACCTTTCTAACAGTTCTTCGACTTCTTCGGAAGAAGCCTCGACGTCTGTAGCATCACATTCGTTTATGAGCAAATCATGGAGATGTTTCACTAGTTCGGTACTGGCTAAGCACTGCGATGATATCTTTGCTATCTTTTTACTGCTCATTGGTAATTCAGCTGAGCCTTGTTTTGGAATTTCCCTTTTGATAGATAATTCGAGTTCTTCTAGATTTTTTCTACATTCATCCAAAGCTGCTTCTAGTTCAACTAGATAAGCATCTTTAGCGCTGATAGAAGTCATTCTCTGCAACTGGGATGGCAAGGTATTAACTTGTACAGCAGTATCGCGTTCAAATTTGAGAGTTTCTACTTGGACGCTTTCATCCACCTCTTGCGGTCTACTCTCTATGATTTGAGTCTCTATTTCAGTCTTAATATAGATTATCCTTTCATGAAGATTTCTACATAGGATCTGGTATTCATCAATCATCTCTTGTATTACTTCCACCTCTCTAGGTTTGCTCTTCTTCATTATTTGAAGACCAACTTTGTCAGCGTTTTCAAGGTTTGGAGTTTGAGAAGTTAGTTGTTTCTCGATTTCTAGTAACTTATTGAGTCGCTCCTGCGGAGGCACTTTGTCCGGTGGCAGTAGATGTTGCAATTCCGTTACTTGAGCATCTAACTTAGTTAGGCCTACTATAGCATCTTCGTGTGCTATCGAGAATTCCTTAAATGGAGCTAGTTCTGTTTGTAGTTGTTTTAGTATGGCTAAAGCTTTGGGTAGGAGATTTTCCCATCGTACTATGACCACGCGGGTTTTCGCTGTAAGTTCTTGGATATTATCAGGTTCAATGCCTGGTGCTATATTGAGTTTTGAATAAGTTTGACTGAGTATTTGGAATGCTGGTTGGTGTGATTCTATATCTTTAATTTCGTTTTCAATAGCGTACACTAGATTTTGTATTTCTTCTTTACCTAATTGAGTAGTGGGTTTGTCTAAGTTGCTAAGAGCTTTTTCTTTTTCTGATACCCATTGTTCTTGTTTTTCGCTGAGTTTGGACACTTCTTGAAGTAACTTCCATATGAAATTTATTTTACGCTTCCTTTCAGCCGATTGGCCGCAAACCGTCTTCCAACGTTTTTCTATATTAATTATGGCATTACTGATGTTATCGGTCGAGAAGTTAGCTTTAGATATGTCGGGATCGTTTAAGACTAACTCACATAAATTAAGTACTTCTCCAATATCACCACTTTCATTTTCAATAGATTTTTTGAGCTTTTCGTGATCCTGAAGTTTCCTGTCTATAATATCTTGGGAACACCCTTCGAAAATTAAAGGTTTAGCTAGCTGAGCCTCTATTTGGCTTAACCAAGCTCTTATTCTAGCAATTCTTTCTTCCAATTGCAAAGTTGTTTGCATTAGATCGTTTATTTTGTTAAACCTACTCTTTCCGATTTGTTCTAATCTATCCCATAGTTCACCCACTTCTTCTGTACGTGCCTTGATGATCTGTTTAGCTGTGACATCAGCATATTCTTCCCCACAAGAATCATGGATTTCCTTTCCTGTTTTGACTAACCAGTTGTATTCTCTTTCTTTAAGCGCCATCTCAGCTTGCAGTTCAGTCTCAAGTTTTCTAAGCAACTCTTTAGGTTCTAGAGGTGTTTGATTCGTATCGTAATCTTGGTTCAGTCTTTTTTCTAACTCATTTACCCATAAGATAAATTTAGTGTAGCGAGATTCAAATAGTGATCTTACACCCAATTTTTCTTCTAGTTGTATACACACATTAGTCAATTGGTGTTCTAAATCGTTCTGTTGGTGGCGTAAAAGCCATATTGTTTGGTTGATTGTTTTCATATCTGAAGGACTCAAGCATTCCTTAAGTTGTTCTTGCATCTGGTATATTTGCTCCAAATCGTTCTTAGAAGCATTTAACCTATCTATGGTCGTTCTTAAGATGTCTAGTTTGTGACTGATAACTGAGTGGGACGTTGAAGGAAGTATTACTGATTGATCGATTACTGCTTGTATATCGTCCAATGTAGTTTGTAGTTTAAGTACGCTATCTTCGTATGTCTTGACTAGAATTTTTATTCTTTCTAAGAATTGTTTCCATGTTTCCAAACCTGCTTGTAAGTTGGATGCGCGTTGTTTGATTGCAACGTGTTCCATTCGGATTGATGTAGCTAAAGCATCATCGCAGAATTGTAGCAGTAAAGTTTGTTGACCCTGCAGATCTTCAATTTGTTCTTTTCCTTGAGGAAGTTTGTCCAAGAGGGTTTGGATGCGTGATAGTAATTTAGGAATGCCTCTGATGTGCATATATCTTAGTTGCAAACGTTCTCTTTCCTTTTCAATGCTCTTCAACCAGTTGAGTAATTTATTTTGATCTTCCTTGTATTTTTCCCAAGCGTCTAACCGTGTTTGAACTTCATTGTGTCTGTCCATAATCCTGGATAAAGTTTCATTGTGTAAGTTGGTTAGAGAATTAAATTGCTCCATTACACTTGATTCTACTAAGCCACCAGCTAATTGATCTTCTTTTCGTCCCCCTGGTTTGAGAACGTTCTGTTGCGTGGTTAGAAGATTTTGGTGGATTTGGCACAAATGTTGATGATCTGAAAGACTGTGGTAATCTCCGGGAATTGTACCTTGCAGGAACTGCTGTACATTCATTAAATATTCTTGCCATAGTTTCAAAGCTGCTGCGCCATCTTCGTTTCGAACTAAGCGCGTACTGAGCCGGTGATACTGTTGGAAAGTTTCCCTGAAGACTTGTTGCCATAGTTCCAAGATTTCTATAACCGAAACTTCCGTTCTGGTTGTCGAGATTTCTATGGTTTTATCTTTTAGTAGCTTTATCTGACCTTCTGCTTTGCTCAAGGCTAAGAGATGATCCCTCAATACTAGGAGTTTTTCTTCATTGTCGGTATCTATGCCGCTGCTTTCAATACTGTTTACACTCTAAAAACAAATTTGTGTTATGATAATATTTCAATGAAGAGTTTATGTTTTTACCTTTTGAACTAAATCCAAATAATCTTTGGTGCCGTTGATTTCTATTAAGTTGTCCTTTTTGGTTTTGGCTTTAGCATCGGCGACGTCTGCGAGTGCTGTAAGAGATTCTCGGACATCTTCAAGACGTTTTCCTAGAGCTGCAACTTCTCCACCAAGTAAGGCATTTGCGTCTAGACCGACTGCTGATGCTATACCGGATACGAGTTGTTGTAATTTAGCCAGACGTTTGGTGTGAGCTGCTAAGGTTTCTTCGCATACCTGAAATGGAAAAAAATTTAAGAATTAAGACTATTTAATCTATTAACAAATATAAAATAAGAATAAGCATAGGATTTATTGTATAAACATCAAACTATGAATTATTAAACATATTTTTCAGTCGTCCAAATAAAGAAGTGCGAAAATTTTGGGGCAAGTGATATCCCTAGTAGATTGACTTATTTTCAATTTGTACAAGTTTGTTGGAAAGTCGCCACTCTTTGCTGTATCAAATGCTAGGACGCAGAATGCTTCAAATTAATGTCGTCACCGAATAAACACATTCTGAATTTTAAACGGGTATTAGGTATATCATTCATGTAAATAATAAACATGAAAGGTCAAATAACCGACCCTTGTGGTACTCCTATTTCTAATGAGTCATAGCCGAATGTATTTACAATTTTTCTACAAGGACTGTGTGCTAAATAAAATAATTGTTAATATATTAATATAAATCCTCAAATTTTATATTAGATTTCAAAACAAAGGACTATTGAGAGTTACTAATCGAAAGTTTATAATGGCAAATGAAAGTGATTAACTCTAGCGTGACTCTCTTGCGAGAATTATTACGGATCCATTTGTATTTCGATTTCCATCAGATTTAATTGAAAACAACGTTGAAAACGGCCAAGGTTAATAGGTTAAAGTCATAGATCTAAGATTTTCGAGGTAGTTCGAACCATGTGTCAGTGGAAATGTGAAATGAAAACAACGATTTTATAATTTTGTTCTGAGATACACTTGGAATCGTCCAATTTCATTAATGTTTTAAAAGATAAGAGATGAATCATTTCAAGGCTATCAGATACAAACGTAAACATAAGTTTTTAAATTTAGATCAGTTAGAAAGCGCTTCTATTTAAAAATACCAGTACAAATAGTTTCCTTTCAAGTTAATTAATAAAATATTATTGACCACATTCTACTTCTGATTGTCAAAACCTTCATAAACAAGAATAAGGACATACATCATATGTATACCTATATAGAAAAACAGAGAGTAGCATTGAGAAAAATGTAATGCTGGAAACCCATTTTTTGATTTTAAGCTGTTAACTTGTTTTTGGCCAAGGCTAATATAAGTACCAATTTTTAAAAATAGGATGCAGTGAGGAGTAATTTTATAAAAATATCTTTCTAATGGTCAATGTCAATGGGCAAATTTAACTTTTTGGGGCAACTCGTGCACCGTCTGCTGATTTAAAAGTAGACATACGGTTTACTAACACCTGCAATACTCGTATTTCAATTCGATTTAATTACAAAATCACACTCCGTAAGATTTTTAAACTTGTAATAAAATTGCTTCGAAAAATATGCATAATAAAAATAAAAAATTATACTGTAATATGTATTTCGATTGTGTTTTCTTGATTGTGGCGTGGCGCATATTTAAATTTATATCAACTTTGAAAGAGTTCAAACTTTTGACACCAACTGCAAAAGCTCAAATTCCATCTAACAACAAATTTCCGTTTTAGACTAAAAAGCACGAAGACTATGATGAATAGCTTCAGAGGCGCAGACATATGGTTTTTATTCCGGGATAAAGTGGGATTTGTGCGAAAATATTAAAGTTCCTAATACATTTTTCACATATCTCGCAAAAATTATGTTACAAATTGTATTAATGAAAAAACTACTTTTGACCGAGGCTGTAAAATGTTTTGAATAAAAAGAAAAACAGTAAAAAATTATAAAATTCCCTAAACACATTTCAATTGTTACATAGCAGGGAGAGAAGCTGAAAAGACTTTTCATAGTTCTCCCACAGTTTTGCCGCGGAGCTAACCGAAGTAAACGCGAAACATTGGCGTCCAATGAAGTTGCAGTGGAAGGTGATGTTATTATCCCACTATTTCGATTCAGTGTTTTATTTTCATGCCACCTAGTGTAATGTCAGTATTTACACATGGTTGGACTAAACCAGAAGTAAATACTCTGTGTATTAGTATGTCTGGTTAATTCTTAATTATATAATGTGGACTGTATAAAAATTACGTATATATTACAAAAAAATTAATTACATAGGCAAAAAACAGGTCAGTCCCATACAAAATTAAATCTGTTACTGACTTTAACATAAAATGTACAAAGAATTCAACGGTTCTCAGAACACCTAGTGAACTATCCAATGCCTTTAGGACCCATAGGGTTCAAGCATAGCAGCACTGAAACTCTCTAAGCTTATTGTGCTACAATTTAGGAATTTTTCCTTAATTTGCATACTTTATACATTTATTATACGGAAAAACCTCGTTATAGAACAAATACATTTATGTACAAAGGAATAGGAATAAAATTCGTTGTAGGATTTGATGAGTGACGTATTATAAATTAATTTATATTGACAATAGAAATGGAAAATACGAAAATTGAAGTAAATATAGATAAAACCATAGTAATGAATATAAACCAAAAACAGAGAGATGATACAAATAATAAAGAAATAAAATGTAAAGACATAACATTGGAAATAATTCTATGATGCTAAGATATTTTATTCGTTTACCAGTGTTAAATTTTCGTAAACGTAAAATGACAGAAATAATTTATTCTAGTACAATCTGAGATTGGTGTCGTTCTATACAATGTTACAAAAATGGCTTTAAGGATAATTAGGAAAGCTGGAAGGAGAGGAGAATTAAGAGAGCTGGAAAATATTGAGAATGTGTGTGCGCCGGCGGCGTAAATACATTATTTACCACGGTACAGCTGAGATCGCCGCTGTACTGCGTTAAACAGTGCAACTAAATTACCTGTTTTATTAAAAATGTTCTTTACTACGTTATAGCTAGGACTGTACAGCGATAAGTGATGCAACTGAATTACCGATGTTTTACTGAAAACATTCTTTACTACGTTTCAGCAAAAGTTGGCTCTAAACCATAATAGCCGCAATGCAAATAACATATTGTCGTATATTATCAAAGTACAGCATTTAGTGCATTTTATTAAAGCAATACTATGAAAATAATCCAATGCACTTGTACAAATCTAAACATGCTCAAACCTTAGGTAAACATGCGATAGTATTCCAGGCAGAAATAGCAGCAATACATCACTGCGCAAAAGAGATATTAAGATAATAGGGTGAATGGAAAAACTATTGTAATATACTCAGAAAATCAAGTGACCGACATTAAAAGTACTCAGTTCCATACAAATACACTCAAAGCTTATATGAAATTATTTGGAAGCCTTAACAGATCTGGGTAGTGAAAACAGACCAACCCTAGCCTGGGTACCAGACCACCGAGAACATAAGAGCAATGTAGAGGCTGATTTACTAGCTCAAGAAGGAGTCTCAAAGGCTTTTATTTACCAGAACCCTTCTGTGGAGATACAAAGACAGCTATCAGAACATACACAAAGTAGTGGATGTTAAAACATCTCAGGAATCCTGGAAAAAATTTAATCAGGGCAAAGTCAAACCAAAGAGTTCTTAAATGGACTATCGCAAAAACTCACCAAGCATCTACTAAGCCATAATAGGAAAAAAACTAAAGTTTTAGTAGGCCTATTATCAGGACATTATAGGATTAACATATGTATAACATTGATCTGGATAAAAAAACCTTGTGCTGATTTCGTCAGTTAACCAGGATATTGCAGTACTCGTATTGTGCTACTGTGAAGGACTACCAAGACTGAGATTCCTTACAGTTGGAGAGGAAAAACGAAGGGTAACTAGCTACACCGAAGCACTTCCCAGTCTATGAGTCTACTGCAGAGAACCCAACTAGAGAAGGTACTCTAAACAACCTTTAAAGGATATCCACAATAGATCTGAAAAAGTCGAGATGGTTTGATTTTTTACTGTTGGGCTCTAATCAACAGTGCAGTTCCTAAAGTGGCGCTGGTAAACCGTAACAAGTCCTGTCTGTAGGCATGCTGAAATAATAGAATACTAGCAATCCTACACTATGGAGTATTAGTATACTAGCACTACATAATTTACGCAGAACACGAGAACAATGGCCTAAGTTGAAGCCGAAAACACTAATAAATAAAAAAAATATTAGCTACAAATTGATCGTATTTGATTTAAAACAGTTTCTTTCTACATGATTATAAAAGGTCTGGTCTTAACCTAATAACTGATTAACAACAAGTAACAGAAAAGAAATAGAAACAAGCAAAACAGTTGCATGACCCAGCTGCAATACAGTAAAGTTTGATTTTTTATTAAGCGGGTAATATACTTCCCAAAAATTACTCTGTTACAGCGTAACGTGCGGTTGTTTCACAGTAATGAATGAAATATCAAAATGAACGATATTACTACTAAATTATTTACAAATCGGTGGTCTAATTGGTAGAGACGCGGTGGATCTAGTCGAAAAGTTCCAGGTTCGATACCTGGCCGATACATTAATAATTTTATTTTCTTTATCAGATTTTTCAATTTTTGTTTGTTTTGTTTTCACTTTGGGGAAGTGGGGGTGTAATTTTTCACAAATTTGTAGGGAAAGATTGGGGATTATCAAAATCACTATTATTGATTTTTGCCCGAGGTTGGATTGATCGGCAATTATATTTTCATTTATAAATTTGATTATTATTAAAGTGTTTATTTATAACTGACTATTATTCAGATTTTTATTATTTAACACATTTTTGCTAGGTCACTTCATTACTTGTTTTAAGAAGTGTTTAATAGTTAGATATTTTGACGGAATGGTATAAAATACTAAAGAAGCAGTACCAAACCCACTAGATTTTATGTAGTCATTACAAAAGTATACAGGGTGTCCCGAAATTAGACGATCATGTTTTAACAGCGTAATCTACATCCTAAAACAGGAGTAAAAGTTTATATAGACATAGGTCCGAGATACAGGGTGTTAAAAGTAAAGTCCTGATGACATTTTTGTAAATATTTTCTAAACTTTTAAAGATAACTAAGTGAAATTTGGTACAAATGCTAAACTTTTGTCACTCTAGTTAATGGTCTAAACGCCAGATTTTAGGTGGGTAAATTAGGGGAGGGG